TCTCCTATGCCTTCAGACACTCTATGCTGCATCACTCTCTCCAGGTACTGGTTTCTAAAAATGTTTAATTGACTTACTACCTTGTCTCACATATTACAGATCACCTCTGCCTTGTACAGCGTCAGTACCCCCCCCCCCCCCCCCCCCCCTCACCCCAAGGTGGGGGCCAGTACAGCCAACTTATCTGCCTATCTTGGTTTTTTATCTACATCACACTTTATGTCCATCCCCTCTTTAGGTATAGCTAAATGTACAGTAGGCAGGCCAAACAATTTCTTCAGGCCTCGGAGATGTGGTTTTACAGAAGAATGCTTAGAATACCTTGGACAGCCAAAAAGAGCAACCAAGAGGTTTTGAAAGAGGCGGGAGCCCGAAGACAACTTATCACAGACATCAGAAGGAGACAGTCATCATTTTTCGGCCATGTTATGAGAAGAGGGAAAATAGAACATGTTGTGACCACTGGAAAGATATCTGGAAGGAGAGATAGAGGAAGACAACGAGAGAAGATGCTTGACAGCCTTGTTGCATGGCATGGAGGTGTGTCGGCACACGAACTGATACATGCTGCAGGAGATCGCAGATTATGGAGAAGCATGATCGCCCACGCCAGTCGGCAAGGCACCTGATGATGGTGATGACAGTACAATCAGTGACAGTGTATGCACACTTAATATAAGAGCAGTGTTGGCAAAGTGGTTTGTCTGCTTGTTTCACAAGTCACTGGTCCCAGTTTTATCCCCAACAGTGAAAGACTTCAGTTGTCCAACCCATACTGGTCAATTCAGCCTCAGAACTCTGGAGGCAGGACCCTTTTCCCCACCTTCAGGTATATTGTGCTGGACCCATACTTTTATCGAGATATCAGCAATCTTAGCATGATGTCATAAACATCGTGATGTCCACCTTTACTTCCCAGGACATTTCCTGATACCCATTTAGACTACTGCCCGAGAGACAAGATTAATTAAAAAAAAAATTACCTTGGTGTCTATTTAAACCTCAGACCTTTGAGCTGACAGGCAAACAACTCCCTGTTTTACACATGCAGAGATATAATAAATATACACATGCTCATATATTATATGTAGACGTGGTAAAAAAAACCAGTTCTAGTATATATAATGGCATCAGAAATGTGTTTTCTAGAAAAATGCATCATTGGTGGACAAAAAAATGCACCAAGCGACCTTGGATGGACAGAAAAATGCACCAAGCGCCATAGTTGGACAGAAAAATGCACCAAGCGCCATAGATGGACAGAAAAATGCACCAAGTGCCATGGGTGGACAGAAAAACTAATAAGACAATACTTCAAGAAACATGAAAAAAGTTATTCTGATTCACTGATTTCAGAATCAACATCATAGCACACCGGGCATACCTACAGATGCTCCGTCTCCCACAGCAAATGTCTTAAGGTATTGATATTAACTGTTCCTATAGCACACTTATATGCACGTTGTTCTCTTGTCTGATTCTCATCCTTGTGATGTTCATTCAAAAGACTGCAATCCTAAAGGGACAAAACTTTATATATATTTATATATGTGTGTGTGTGTGTATATCTACACATATAAACACATACACAGACACATATATATAATACCAAAACTCTCTTCAGTGCATCCCAGCCTGATGTTGAAAGGCAAATCAAAGACGGAGATGAAACAAATTTATAAGGCCCCCCTGCCAGTTAAATTTAACCTGGTTGTTGTACTGATCAGGTCTGGACAAATATTGCATCTAATTACCTTCGATGTTTTTTTCCAGGCACATCATGTGAGAATGGTAATTTTCCTGGCATGTCATGTGATGCTGCTAATTTGCCAGGACCATCTTGTGATTCCAGTAATTTCCCATTTACATCATCTGTTGCTGAGAATTTTCTGGGCCCATCTTTTGAAGGAGGTAATACAGCAGGCACATCACGTGAAAGCATTAATTTAGCGGGCACATCATGTGACGGAGGGCAATGTCTAACAAATTCGGCGGTAGACAGCAATTTCAGTGCACTGTATGGGCCAGACACCCAAGACTTGCTCTGTGAACACAATACAAGATGTGATTATGTGATAAATACATATCTGACATCTATGTGTACGTGATAAATACATATAGCATATTTGACATCTATGTGTACATGATAAATACATGTCTGACATCTATGTGTACGTGATAAATACATGTATGTCAAATCTGACATCTATGTATCGTAATGAGTCCATTTTCTCCTGATAATGAATGTGTGCATTGATAACGAGGTTAGAGATTAAACATAAATTATGTACTTCAGTTCGGACGAATCTGGTTAAGGCCAAAACGAGTTACACCATTTTATGCAGGCAAGCAAGCAGATTGCTGGGCATAGGCCAAAGGGAATAAATCGTGAATTTACGTTAGTGAATAATCTAGAAATATTGAGGAATGAAAGTTAACTCAAGTTAAAGGATGACAAGAAGGATCAGTTGTGTTTTGGGTTCAAGGAACAGTGCATCTGTAATGCGGATCGATAAGTCAAATTACAAGTAGATGTTTGAACCAGATTTGGCTGTGAATTCATGGACAAAACTTGGCTACCATTTGCCTGATAATTCTGGTGAAGATCAGACATGTTTGTTTAGTGTGGAAGATTGTCATTGTCAAGCTATCACCATAGGATTGTTAAAGTGTATTTCTGTATGAAGGTAACTGTTCTATTTGTGATCAGTTGTTGAGTTGCTGCCCCTAGACCGTCACCCCACTATACATTGACTCCAAGGCGACTGTGTGAATCAATGAACATTGACATCAGCATCAACTGTGCTTTTAGCCTCATTGATTGTTTCAACATGTGGAAGTGTGAGTCGGTGTGCACCTAAGAAGTCTGCAGATGACTAGAGCCTGAGTTTATTCATAAACAGAGTCACTGCAGTATACACAAATACATATCTGTGTACACGATAAATACATATCACATATCTGACATCTATATGTACATGATAAATACATATAGCATATTTGACATCTATGTGTACATGATAAATACATATAGCATATCTGACATCTATGTGTACATGATAAATACAAATCACATATCTGGCATCTATGTGTACATGATCATATCTGAAATCTAAGTGTACATAGATGGCAATGTTATGACAATTTTAAAATCATATCTGACACACAGGGCAATGATCTATCATAAGCCAGGACAATGTTGTAAACACAGAAAATGTGTCAAACATGGCAACATCATTGCTTGAAATTAAGCAGGTTCAGTTCAATCAAGCCTCATGCAGATTTTCACAAGTATCCTCATCATCATTGTCTGTTACAATGCATGTCACTGGGTGACCAATTGCTTTTGACTGACTGAATGATGGTTCCATGCCTAAAGCTTGTCCTGTCAGTCAAGCTCTGTATCCAGGGCTTTGGTGGTCTGCCTCTGCTGCATCCTGTAGTAGTTTTGGTGTTGCTGAGAGACTGTGAGATCTTATTACACGTCCATACCACTGAATTTTCTTCCTTTTCAGTGTAGTTAAAAGAGGTTCAGAGTGTAGTCACAAGTTAATTTCTATGTCAGGATCAAGATGATAAATTTAGAAAACTACATACAACAATAAGAGAAAGGCAGTCAGTGTTCTTTGGTCATGTCATGAGATGAGAGGCGTTGGAGACCATCATGATGAGTGGAAAGATGGACAGTAGAAGAAGGTCTGAGAGACCCAAGAGAAGCATGCTTGACGGCCTAAATGGAGTGGAAAAATATCATCAGAGGAATTGATTCCAAATACTAAGGATGAAGATCTATTGAGAGATGGGCACTTATGCTGCCTGGCAGGGAGCATGATGTTGATGACTCTATTAAAGAATAACTAATAGCTATACCCAACTCAAACATCACTGAACATGGTTTTATTCCATCTGTCTCAGTGTCCCTGTGCAGAGTGGCTGTACTGTCAGCCTGAATGTCCAAGGTTCAAATCCACATCGAGGCAGATTTGTTCAAAACTGCTCAGCTCTGAAGCATGTGGCCACCTCTGAAACATGTGGCCACCTCTGAAATGTTTGGCCACATCTAAAACATCTGTTCAGCTCTGAAACATGTGGCCACCTCTGAAATGTTTGGCCACATCTAAAACATCTGTTCAGCTCTGAAACATGTGACCACCTCTGAAACATGTGGCCACATCTAAAACATCTGTTCAGCTCTGAAACATGTGACCACCTCTGAAACATGTGGCCACATTTAAAACATCTGTTTAGCTCTGAAACATGTGATCACCTCTGAAACATGTGGCCACCTCTGAAACATGTGGCCACCTCTGAAACATCTGTTCAGCTCTCAAACATGTGACCACCTTTGAAACATGTGACCACCTCTGAAACATGTGGCCACCTCTGAAACATGTGGCCACCTCTGAAACATGTGGCTACATCTAAAACATCTGTTTAGCTCTGAAACATGTGGCCACCTCTGAAACATGTGGCCACCTCTGAAACATCTGTTCAGCTCTCAAACATGTGACCACCTTTGAAACATGTGACCACCTCTGAAACATGTGGCCACCTCTGAAACATGTGGCCACCTCTGAAACATGTGGCCACATCTAAAACATCTGTTTAGCTCTGAAACATGTGACCATCTCTGAAACATGTGGCCACCTCTGAAACATGTGGCCACCTTTGAAACATGTGGCCACATCTAAAACATCTGTTTAGCTCTGAAACATGTGACCATCTCTGAAACATGTGACCATCTCTGAAACATGTGACCACCTCTGAAACATGTGACCATCTCTGAAACATGTGACCACCTCTGAAACATGTGACCACCTCTGAAACATGTGGCCACCTCTGAAACATGTGACCACTTCTGAAACATGCGCTTACCTCTGAAACATGTGGCCACATCTAAAATATCTGTTCAGCTCTGAGACATCTGCTCTTGGAAACATTTGCCCAGAACCCATGACATTCAGAGAACAAGGTCATAGGTAAAACATCATGAAACTCACCAAGCTCTTCATTTTACGAGCATGAGTGTCCACGTCATGAGCAATTTCTGCTTTACTCAGCTTAGAAAAATTGATCAGCACAGCCTGGAAATAAAACCAACAATTCTGACTGTGATTTTGTGTTTTTTGTTTTGTTATATTTCTGATACAGTTATAAAACAGAGAAGATGGCGCTGTATTGGGCACCTTCTGAGAAGAGACCGGGGAGGGAGAGGGGGGGGGGGGGGGGAACAAGGATGCCCAAGAGAAACCTAAATGAAAACGTTGATGAGATAAGTCACAGACACTGGAAGGGATTCCATTCATGACATCAAAGTAATTGCACAAGATAGAAAGGAATGGAGGAACAGACTGCGTGCCCTATGTGACATACAATGCCAGTACGGGACATTAAACACATTAATTTCTTTCTGTGCATTATTATTTATCATAGTAAAACTATCTATATTTTTTCAGAAATCAGATGTTATCTGACTGTCTATAACTTCATGTCCTTAATCTGTTTACTTACAAAGAAAGCTTTCCAAGTTCACTTAGATCATACCTAGTATCTTTCAGGAATAATTAATGACACTGATTCATTTCAGAACAAATCAAATGAAGAGAAAGAGGAAAGTACACACTAGATAAAAATATGAGAGCAGTATACAAGACCTAGCACCAGACAGAACAGTGTGGCTAATGATTTCATTTGCAATAATGACGTTGAATATCTTAGAAGATTTTTGAATTTTAAGAGGCTGTTTATTGTCATTATGTGTTGTGATGAGCAGGGTAGACAGAGAAATGGTCTGTGCCAACAATCTGTTCACTGTCATTATGTGTCGTGATGAGCAGGGTAGACAGAGAAATGGTTTGTGACAACAATCTGTTCATTGTCATTATGTGTCGTGATGAGCAGTGTAGACAGAGAAATGGTCCGTGACAACAATCTGTTCACTGTCATTATATGTCGTGATGAGCAGGGTAAACAGAGAAATGGTCCTTGACAACAATTTGTTTACTGTCATTATGTGTCGTGATGAGCAGGGTAGACAGAGATATGGTCCATGACAACAATCTGTTCACTGTCATTATGTGTCCTGATGAGCAGGGTAGACAGAGAAATGGTCCTTGACAACAATCTGTTCACTGTCATTATGTGTCGTGATGAGCAGAGTAGACAGAGAAATGGTCCGTGACAACAATCTGTTCACCGTCATTATGTGTCGTGATGAGCAGGGTAGACAGAGAAATGGTCCTTGACAACAATCTGTTTACTGTCATTATGTGTGGTGATGAGCAGGGTAGACAGAGAAATGGTCCTTGACAACAATCTGTTCACTGTCATTATGTGTCGTGATGAGCAGGGTAGACAGAGAAATGGTCCTTGACAACAATCTGTGCATTGTCATTATGTGTCGTGATGAGCAGGGTAAACAGAGAAATGGTCCTTGACAACAATCTGTTCATTGCCATTATGTGTCGTGATGAGCAGTGTAGACAGAGAAATGGTCCTTGACAACAATCTGTTCAATGTAATTATGTGTCGTGATGAGCAGGGTAGACAGAGAAATGGTCCTTGACAACAATCTGTTCACTGTCATAAGTAGTGTGGTGATGAGCAGGGTAGACAGAGAAATGGTCCTTGACAACAATCTGTTCACTGTCATTATGTGTCGTGATTAGCAGGGTAGACAGAGAAATGGTCTGTGACAACAATCTGTTCACTGTCATTATGTGTCGTGATGAGCAGGGTAGACAGAGAAATGGTCCTTGACAACAATCTGTTCACCGTCATTATGTGTCGTGATGAGCAGTGTAGACAGAGAAATGGTCCGTGACAACAATCTGTGCACTGTCATTATGTGTCGTGATGAGCAGGGTAGACAGAGAAATGGTCCTTGACAACAATCTGTTCATTGTCATTATGTGTCGTGATGAGCAGGGTAGACAGAGAAATGGTCCTTGACAACAATCTGTTCACCGTCATTATGTGTCGTGATGAGCAGGGTAGACAGAGAAATGGTCTGTGACAACAATCTGTTCACTGTCATTATGTGTCGTGATGAGCAGGGTAGACAGAGAAATGGTCTGTGACAACAATCTGTTCACTGTCATTATGTGTCGTGATGAGCAGGGTAGACAGAGAAATGGTCTGTGACAACAATCTGTTCACTGTCATTATGTGTCGTGATGAGCAGGGTAGACAGAGAAATGGTCCGTGACAACAATCTGTTCATTGTCATTATGTGTCGTGATGAGCAGGGTAGACAGAGAAATGGTCTGTGACAACAATCTGTTCACTGTCATTATGTGTCGTGATGAGCAGGGTAGACAGAGAAATGGTCCTTGACAACAATCTGTTCATTGTTTTCTGTGAGGCTGAGGGCTATGTGTGCTTGAAGACTATATTTTGATAATCTTCTTCTTCTGTGTGTTTACTGGCTGTAAACTCTAGTTAAAAGTTTATGGACTTTAGACCTGTTTTGTGTACACATCCATTTGACAGATGTGGCTTATCTGTATGCAGGCTTAGTTCCTTGCCCCTCAGTGAATGCATACTGACTTTGAAGGAAACCTCTAATTGGTCGACTTTTCTGACATGCTTGTGAGAGAGGTGGTTGGTCTCCCCAGCCCCCCTTTTCCCTCCTGGAATCCACACAGGGATATATTTTAAAATCAGCGAATAATAAAAGTAGTCCTAACCTTCCAGTTGATAACATCATATGAGTGCTGATCATGGACAATAGGCAGACCTATCTTCACCTTCTTCACTGTGTGATAATCTGAAAAACAATAACAGAGGGAGAAGCAAAACTTATGTAATATTACATCTCATCAGATATCTAATAATACATCTTACAATTTATCTCACTATATCTCACCATATGTCCCATTATATGACTTACCATACATCCTATCATATATCTGAGATATGTGATCAGATCTATGGTGAGATATATAGTTTTATTATATATCTCATAATAACCTCACCATATAACTCTCCATATATATCATCATACATCTCATCATTTATGTCATCACACATCTCACCAGACATCTCCTGATACATCTCACAATATATCTCACCACATGTTCCATTATATATCTTATCATACACCATACAACTCACCATATATTTCATCATATATCTCATAATAATTGCACAGTATATCTCATCACATATCTCTCAAAAAATATAATATCTCATCATATATGCCACCATTCATCACATCACACATCTTATCATACATCCTACCATATACCTCAACATATATCTCATTATACATTCTCACCATATATCAAAGCTTATCAAACTTCTCATAATCTTATCAAACTACTTATTATATTTCTTATCCTAAAATGTATCATTCAAGTCATCGCACAACTCATCCGACAAATTACTCTAATACTCTCGGGAGGCAGACAGCCATTCTGCAGTAAGAGACCTAGCCATTGGGCATGAAATCCATTCAGGTCCATCCCAAAAAGAGCCTCTGGAACAACTGAGTTTCAACTTGGTCAATGAGTTATCTGAAAAGGTATTCTCTGTTCTACAAACTACCACAGCAAAACATGAGCCATGTTTTAACTTACACTTTTTGTAGCAGCTTTCAAAGTCAAAGACAAGATCAGACAGACTCTGAAAAGAAGCAAAACAAGATCAGACAGACTTTGAAAACAAGAAAAAACTAGTCCTTCATATTTTCACATAAACATAAGGTTCTCTTATCAGTTTATTAGTTGGCACCTTTCTGTCTTTCCCAGTTGGCACCTTTCTGTCTTTCCAAGTTGGCACCTTTCTTTCTTTCCCAGTTGGCACTTTCTGTCTTTCCCAGTTGGCACTTTCTGTCTTTCCCAGTTGGCAACTTTCTGTCTTTCCCAGTTGGCACGTTTCTGTCTTTCCCATTTGGCACATTTCTGTCTTTCCCGGTTGGCACCTTTCTGTATTTCCCGGTTGGCACCTTTCTGTCTTTCCCAGTTGGCACCTTTCTGTCTTTCCAAGTTGGCACCTGTCTGTCTTTCCCAGTTGGCACCTGTCTGTCTTTCCCAGTTGGCACCTTTCTGTCTTTCCCAGTTGGCACCTTTCTGTCTTTCCCAGTTGGCACCTTTCTGTCTTTCCCAGTTGGCACCTTTTTGTCTTTCCCAGTTGGCACCTTTCTGTCTTTCCCAGTTGGCACCTTTCTGTCTTTCCCAGTTGGCGCCTTTCTGTCTTTCCCAGTTGGCGCCTTTTTGTCTTTCCCAGTTGGCACCTTTCTGTCTTTCTGAGTTGGCACCTTTCTGCCTTTCTTAGTTGGCACTTTTCTGTCTTTCCCAGTTGGCACCTTTCTGTCTTTCCCAGTTGGCACCTTTCTGTCTTTCCCATTTGGCACCTTTCTGTCTTTCCCAGTTGGCACCTTTCTGTCTTTCCCAGTTGGCACCTTTCTGTCTTTCCCAGTTGGCACCTTTCTGTCTTTCCCAGTTGGCACCTTTCTGTCTTTCCCAGTTGGCACCTTTCTGTCTTTCCCAGCTGGTACCTTTCTGTCTTTCCCTGTTGGCACCTTTCTGTCTTTCCCAGCTGGCACCTTTATGTCTTTCCCAGCTGGCACCTTTATGTCTTTCCCAGCTGGCATCTTTCTGTCTTTCCCAGTTGGCACCTTTCTGTCTTTCCCAGTTGGCACCTTTATGTCTTTCCCAGTTGGCACCTTTCTGTCTTTCCCAGTTGGCACCTTTCTGTCTTTCCCAGTTGGCACCTTTCTGTCTTTCCCAGATGGCACCTTTCTGTCTTTCCAGGCTAGTATTATACTGTCGAAAAAAACACATATGGTTGAACAACAGTTAAACAGCATTACAAGTCTATGGTTGAACAACAGTTAAACACCATTACAAGTCTGTGGTTGAGCAACAGATAAACATCATTACAAGTCTATGGTTAAGCAACAGCTAAACAGCATTATAAGTCTGTGATTGAGCAACAGCTAAACAGCATTATAAGTCTGTGATTGAGCAACAGCTAAACAGCATTATAAGTCTGTGATTAAGCAACGGCTAAACAGCATTATAAGTCTATGATTGAGCAACAGCTAAACAGCATTATAAGTCTGTGATTGAGCAACGGCTAAACAGCATTATAAGTCTATGATTGAGCAACAGCTAAACAGCATTATAAGTCTGTGATTGAGCAACGGCTAAACAGCAAGACAAGTCTGTGGTTGAGCAACGGCTAAACAGCATTATAAGTCTGTGATTGAGCAACAGCTAAACAGCATTATAATTCTGTGATTGAGCAACGGCTAAACAGCATTATAAGTCTATGATTGAGCAACAGCTAAACAGCATTATAAGTCTGTGATTGAGCAACAGCTAAACAGCATTATAAGTCTGTGATTGAGCAACAGCTAAACAGCATTATAAGTCTATGATTGAGCAACAGCTAAACAGCATTATAAGTCTGTGATTGAGCAACGGCTAAACAGCAAGACAAGTCTGTGGTTGAGCAACGGCTAAACAGCATTATAAGTCTGTGATTGAGCAACAGCTAAACAGCATTATAAGTCTGTGATTGAGCAACGGCTAAACAGCATTATAAGTCTGTGATTGAGCAACGGCTAAACAGCATTATAAGTCTATGATTGAGCAACAGCTAAACAGCATTATAAGTCTGTGACTGAGCAACGGCTAAACAGCAAGACAAGTCTGTGGTTGAGCAACAGCTAAACAGCATTACAAGTCTATGGTTGAGCAATAGCATTACAAGTCTATGGTTGAGCAACAGTTAAACAGCAATACAAGTCTGTGGTTAAGCACCAGCAAAGATAATGAAGATCAAGATTTCGAGAGCATGTATTTATCCTGTAGCAGCATACGGATGTAAGTCGGGGATTATTTCAGTCATTAACTCTTTCCCGCTGTAAGAATCTTAAAAAAATGACTTAAAAAAATTTTTTTTTAATGTATGATCAGAATTCTATGAAACTACTCTAAAAAAAAAAAAAATAGAAGAGAAGACGAAGCAAAAGAAAATTTTGAGTCATGGCCAGTTTTGATAAAATTCCAGCAATCTAAAGCTCGTAGATCACTGAGATAGGCAGGTGTGAAGTCCTCGGCTTCTGTGATGAACAAAATCCACTCACTAAATGTCTGAATCCAGCGAATGTCATTTTAAATTGGGTGATCTGAAAGCCCAGGCCAGCTGTAAAAACAATTCTTGATGCAGCCTCATATACAAGACATTTATGCTGACTGACATTTTTTAAGCCAGTGACGTCATTATAGGTCACATTTGTTTATGATATGAGAAACTTGCAAGCAGATTTTGCACTGTCACACAGCCATCACCATATGTTTTGATTTCCATGCCTTGTTATCATCATCATGTAGCAGGTTTTGAGCAGAATGTTGCTTTCATTACAACCCAACTGAAAGTAACTGGTCTCTCCAGTGACAGTGAGAAAGAAGCAGTGAAAGACAGAGAGAGGAGGGAGAGAGATTAACAGTCAGACAGACTGGTAGATAGGTAGGTAAACAAGAAGGAAGATATAATCCGACTGCTAGTGATGCCATCAGCATTAGAGCTTTGCGCTGGTTGCTGAAGAAAAGGATGAAGTTCTTATGGGAAGCGCTGTATTGTTGGTTCTAAACTCAACTCAACTCTGTGTATGCAGGTAGTCTGACAGACTCAACAGAATAGGCAGACAATAATCTCACCTTGAACTCCACTGGCTTATACATGAGTTCCTCCCGTCTGCTCATCCCAATAGCCCCATAAGACCCTCTGTATGAGATGGCGAGGACAACATGTCTGTGTAGAAGACCACTGAAGTCTGTCTTGAAGCTGAGAGCAAACCGCTCCACACCTAACATACCATTAGTTAGAAATCTGCGTGCAGGACTTAAGGCAATGATCAAGAGATGGTACTGTAAGAATGTAAATGATGATGATGTAATCAAGCATGACCAGGGAGATAACTGCTGCTTCCATAGTACTCACATTGGTAGCAGAACAAGCGGCCACTCATGCGGTAATTGTTTCAGACTCCACGAACATGCCCCAGAAAACTCATAAAAGGTAGCTTACGTTCAGAATTGGCAAATAGTTTTCGGAAGTCACAGTTAACCTCCATCATCTGGTTCTACACACTTGGGCATGCAGGAGTAAAAGGTAATGAAAGACCTGACCAGCTGGCAAGAAGTGCACCAATGCAAAAGCTGTATGGACTAAGTAAAGTAAAGTAAAGTTCCCTTTTCACGTCTTTCGGCGCATCGGGCATATGGGCAGAGCGTCCCATATTTTTACAGACCATCAGCACTCTGTGGGTAATGTGGTCAGCATTACGCCGGCTGTCTTTACTTTCCCAGGACAGCCCATCCTGGTACCCATTTTAGGCTGGGTCGACCTGCGACGTCCCATACCACGACAACAATCCACGCAGCCTGCAGTGGGTTTCGATCGCGGTATGCTGGCTTACGAGTCGGACTCGCAACGCCTTAGCCACGGACGCCGCTGTATGGACTAAGCTGGAGGATAATGCTTAATCTCTGATGGTAACCAATTGCGTGACCTGGGAGTTAAGGTTGGTGAAACATGTGTACGCCATCTTCAATGTCAAGACAGGAGATACTATCACGAAATTCTTATGAGAACAATCAGTCCTCGTCTGTGTCTAATGACAAATCACTGTCTACATATATTGCCTCATCCTCAGTTCCATCTATGACAGGTGAAATACCACACTTCATAAATGACTTTGACAGTGATCTCATTCTTCACAATATCCCAGCAACTTTTCACTCAGGCACAAACTTCTCCTTTAGTTAGTTTCTTCACACTAGCTGCTTGTGTCATATTGTCCCCAGAAGAGTTTATACGTTGGTTCCATTCGTCTCCTATTGCAACTTTGAAAGGTTTTTTAATGCTAACACTCACTAGTTGAAACTTAGTGGACACAGGAATTCCTAATGTAACAAGTGCGAAACAATGAGTGCAAAAAGACAAGTGTAAAAACTACCAAAGCAAATAAACCACTTTTAATTTTATAATTTTCTTCCAATTGTATGTTGCCCCTGAACCAGCTTTCCCAAATGAGGCTCTGTACATGATATTTTCTAACAAACCACTTGGTAAAATCTTACTACTATTGTTTAGGACGCACACTGTTTTTATATCCTTGTTTTGAGAAAATAATGTGTCTCATACTTAAGGTGATGATTGTTCAATACTGAATGAGATAAAGTGATGACTGTTTGAAACAGAATGAGCTAAAGTGATGACTGTTTGATACAGAATGAGCTAAAGTGATGACTGTTTGATACAGAATGAGCTAAAGTGAGGACTATTTAATGCTGAATGAGCTAAAGTGATGTGTGATAATGAATGAGCTAAATTGATGACTGTTTGATAATGAATGAGCTAAAGTGATGACTGTTTGATATAGAATGAGCTAAAGTGATGACTGTTCAACGCTGAATGAGCTAAAGTGATGATTGTTTAATGCAGAAGGAACAAATGTAATGATTGTTCAATGCTGAATGAGCTAAACTGATGACTGTTCAATGCTGAATGAGCTAAAGTGATTACAGTTTGATAATGAATGAGCTAAAGTGATGACTGTTCGATACGGAATGAGCTAAAGTGATGATTGTTCAATACTGAATGAGCTAAAGTAATTATTGTTTGACAATGAATGAGCTAAAGTGATGACTGTTCAATGCTAAATGAGCTAAAGTAATTATTGTTTGACAATGAATGAGCTAAAGTGATTATTTCTTGACACTGAATGAGCAAAAGTGGTGACTGATAGATACAGAATTAGCTATCATAGCGACAGTTTGAACCAAATGAAGTAAAGAAATAAGGATACATTCCCAGAATCACAGCCTCTAAGCATTTGATGGGAAGTGACTCTCTCATCATTTCCCGGGCACATTCCATCAACCTAAAACAAAAACGTCAGGAGAAAAAGCCACCGTTACCCCAACAGTTGAATACACATCTTCCTATTATTTCTGTTTACCAACTGTAAACTTCTGTGGATATATCTGGCTGCTCATCAACTTCTGAACTTTTGTCTTGTTCCAGAGCTGGATTTTTTAATGTGCCCATTAATTTTAGATGTTTGGCTTATTTGTTTGCAGACTGTTGGATCCTCGCCACTCAAGCAGATGCACCCCAAACTCTGAAGGAAACATCAGGTGTTAGTCACCTTGTACAACAGGCATTTTACAGACAGTGGGTCTATTCTTCTAACCCCAAAATGGAGCCGCGGGACCTACACAGGAAAGAATACACAAGACTGAGGCAATATATGGTTGTCAGAGAACTTACAAAGTAACTGCGCTTGGAGATTGACGAGATGTTTCTTCTTTTTCATCTTCTGTGTTCACTCTTAAAAGGTTGGTTGGTGCATTATGTTGTGGTTTACAGCTAGGCTGGGATATCTGTGTATTTCAGCCTAACACATCTGATTGCTGCAAACTCATAGAAAGTCGCCTTTTATAACTTGCTTGTTTCAAGACAACTGGCCTGTCAACTCCCCTGTCAGCTGTCAAGAGCATCACATAAAGCATCAACACTGCAGATGAAACAATGATCTGAGACAGGGATCTCCAAAACATTTGCTCATGTACTGACTGATGCAATTAAAAAAAAAAAACATGATTCTGAAAACACATGGCTACCAGTCTGACAACTTTTAAAACAATATCCCCAACTGGTAATTGCTTAACATAAACAATATCACTGCCATACAGCATCTCCCTTAGCAGAAATAAAGTGTATAAATACCAACTTCCAATGTGTAACTGTGGTTGGATCTACATCTGATATGTCTCCTTATGTAGCTCTAGGGCCAGAATTGCAGTTTTGGTCCCTCACACTATTGCTGGCAACTTTTCATCTTTCCAGATGATAGTGTTCCATTGGGTTGGGGGGGGGGGGGGGGGGGGTGGGAATTAGAATCACAGCCCATGGTGAGAGTAATTAAGGTCAAAATTGAAGTTCAACCTTTCCATCGCACAAAGTCTAGGCAGTATTGTAGAGATCATGTGATTCTCAAGCAACATGATACCACTCTTGGCCTGCTTTGTTAATTCCAAAAGAAAGGTAACACCAATACAGTCTACATGCTGCAGCAGCTGCCAGATCAAAAGAGCAGTGGCGGAATGCTGATCTGTCAGCCTGAAAATCTTGGGTTCGAATCTGCATAGGGCGGTCAACCCAGTCGAGAATGAGAATCAAGAACTGTTCCAGGAAGTCAAGATGCTGGTCACATGACCCACTGACAGGCTAGATCATATTCACACTAAAATTTCTTTGACTTTCATCTACTGTTTAAAAATCAAATTTCTAAAAAATATCAACTGACCTTGATTTTCAACCACATATTTTCTAGAAGAGCGTTCTTCAATGTTCTTATATCAGCAGACCGCAAAAACACAAGAAATATTTCACTGAACAGTTAGACGGCTAATACAGAAACAACAATAATATACAGAGAATTTTGTTACTAAATCATGATAGGGTGGACACTTTTGGGAGGACAGCCAGGAAATTTCCACGGACCAGTAACGGTCAGCAGACCACAGGTTGAAAAACCTAAATCTTAAAAGATTAACTACTGAACCAATTACATCATTGTGGAGTGATTATGAACTAGACATCAGGTAATTTTCCAAGAAACAAATTAGGCAACAAGATGGGTAGTAAATTTTACTAATTTGCCATCTCAACTCTTTATTGATAAAGTCTTTCTGCTTCTACACGTTCTGTTTTTCCATGCTTATTCTTCCCCTTGTGGGTGCCAGGAACTAATTTGGGGGAAAAAGAGGGGTGGGAGAGAACAGAGCTACTTCCCCTCAACAAGCATGTAAATAAATGACTAATTAAGGACTTGCTGATATTGGATGTGTTGAACCAAAAGTCATCGTTGCCTCCTGTAAATGACAATACAATGTGCAAGTGTCCTTTTAAGGTGAATGAAGACAAAAACTTACCCTGATATAGGTCTCTTTTTCCTGATCTCAAAGAATTGAGTGCCTGTATGGTTGTACCTGTATGAGTTAAGCAAAATAAATAATTGTGGATCTGTCATTATAAATATCTTTTTAATAGAACATCTTCAGCTATTAGACTTGTGACAACCCTCTATCTTTCTTTCTTTCTCCTTGCACATACACACACACACACAGAGAAAGAGAAAGAAAGTAAAGAAGGAAAACAAACTATAATTTCAAAATTTCCATAAACAGAGAATTGGGCACCTTCAGTGTGTTTAATACACAGTCCATGTCTCTCACCTTAATCAAATTATTTCTCAAATTATTTCTCACAAAGTTTAGCTGCTACATGATGAAGGCTTTAAACCAAACACATAAAATATACAAGAATTTAACACTAACCAAACAACAGTATTAGTAACATTATTTATAATAATAATAATATAAAAGTAATAATAATTTCAGGAGGCTTCAAATGACCACCGTAAAAATGTGACATAAATTACAATAACCATGTCACTGTCTTTTAACTTGTCAGTATTGTTATTAAGGTTGTCAAGAAGGTTAAGCAAATGACATCATGGTGCTGATAAACATTATGATGTTATAATGACCGTTTAAAGAAGGCAGCCCCACTTCTGACATGCACCAGAAAGCAGCAGCATTTTTTTATCCATTTTTTGATCAGTAAAAGGGTGAAACCTACAGCAATTCATCGGTGAATGAAGGTCCAGTCTGGTAATGCATGTCTATCAGTCCAGCAAGTGTATGAGTGGAGTAAGAAGTTTCAAAATGGCGTGACTTCCATGACAAACTGTGCATAACCGGGTCAGGCACACCAAGTAGGGAGTCCACAGTCTTTTGCAACCGCTGAAGGCCTCAAAAAGAAAAATATCAATGGCTATGAGTAACATTATCGAATGTCTTGACATCAGTCAAAGTTCAGCAGACGACCTCATCATCTATGATGTGTTACAGTACCACAAAGTGACTGTAAGGTGGCTGCCATGGCAGCTGATGCCACAATTATAACAACAATCCACTGATGCTTGCCAAGAACTTTTGCTGTGCTTTGAAGCTGAAGGTGATGGTTTCCTATCAAGAATTGTCACTGGAGATGAAACCTGGGTTGAGTACCATGTGCCAAACATGAAGAAAGTGAGCACTGATTAAAAAAATGACAACAGAACACTGCTTCTTTTTGAGCGCATGTCAAAAGATGGGTCACATCTTTAAACTATCATAGGATATCACTAAGTTTAGCTGCTCCATGATGTTATGTGCTTAACACTTGACATCCTTAATCACAATACTGACACGTTACAAGACAATGGCACCATAACTCCTGACATTCTTCCGACATTCCCAACTTCATTGCTGTGTAGTCATCTCTGTTTCCTAGACCACAGGTGACACACCCACACCCCCTTTCCAAATCAGGCTAGTCCAGAACAGCCAACCTTGTCTCTAATATCTTTATTTATGTTCAGATGTTCATGGCTTGAAAATGCCCATGTCTTCATTTTGCAAAATTCTTTAAGAATCAAATGAGCCTAAACTGATGTCCTATCAGTGTAACAGCAGAGGACAAAGAAGAAAAGCTGAAAGAAGAATAAAGAGCATGGTCTTATGCTGCAGAATTGTCTTTTTCTGTTTTCCTATTTCTTTGCCTCCCTTAACTCTTTGAGTCCCAGGGGGTTTAGCATCACAGGCCCAAGGGGTAGTCAAGAGAGACGTAAAATCGGCGCATCATGCGTTCATTTGGCTTCTAGGTAGGAATCTATGAACGTATGATGCGTTCCTTGGGACTCAAAGAGTTAATCCCTCTTCACTCAAGAAATATTCAAATAATTATGAAGGTAATGAAGAAAACAAAAGGTTACTGTAGGTCAATCATGTAATCCTGAATCCTTCGCAGCTTCTCCTGCACAGACATTGATGGGTGGAAGGTTAAAGGTAGATGTGGCATGGGCACCTGAAAAACAACATTATTCAGTACAGAAATTTACACAGAAAGTATTGAAAAAAGGTATTTTCTATCAAGCAAAAAGTATCATGCTAAAGAAAAAAAAAGGAATGACCAAAAATACTTTGAACAACATGCGAAGATCACTGACATCTAGAGAGATAAATGCATGAAAGATAAGAATTGTAAAATGTTATGTATGCTCAAATCTACCCTATGGTTTAAAAACTAGAACAATGAACAAGCAACTTCATGTAGATAGAATGGGGTCTTTGGAGATGTGGATAAACAGACAAAAAGTTCATATTTTGTGGAAACAAAAACAATCATACAGAGGTTCTGAAGAGGTTGGAAATGAAAACTGCATTGCTGAAGAATTGAAAAAGAGAAGACTTAAAAAAAAAGCAACTTAAAAAGAGACGACTTGAAAAGAAATGACTTAAAAATAGACTGCACAATTTCAACCACATTAACTCCTTCACTCCCAAGGAACACAACATACATTCACAGGCTCCTACTCAGAATCACAGTAAATACAAGATGTGCTGATTTTACATCTCTCTTAGCCACCCCTTGGGCCTCTGATGCTGAACCCCCTGGGAATAAAAAGAGTTAAAAGACATAACACTCTTTAAAATAATCATACTGAAAAGAAACACTGAAGGCAAGTCAGCAAGAGGTAGACAAGAATACACATGAAAGGATAACATCAAGAAATGGACACACAAAAGTCTCAGAGATTGTTCTATAAAGACAGAAAACAGAGCGTGTTGGAGTTCTTAAGCAGCCAACCTTCACTGTGAAGGTGACAGCTGACTGATTGACTTATGATCCTTGTATGTAAAATTGAATATATTCAATACCAAGAACAACAGAAATAACTCCCCCCCTGTGGTGAAAAACCACAGAAATAAACATTTTATATTCAGTATTTAAAATCCCTTAGCGAACCATTAAAGACACGGAATGAAATTTAAATGCATTTGAAAATAAATGTCCAAGGAAAATGATGAAAATAAAATGGAATGAATTCAAAAGGAGTTGGTGAAGATATAAGAGAAATGTCTGGGCAATCGCTATTATCATTTTAAGACAGTGAAGATGGCACTACATTGGACACATCTTCAGGAGAACTCAGCAGAGAATCACCGAACAGGCATTAAAATGGGGAATAAATGGATTAAGGAAGTGAGGAAGCTCAAAAGAAAAGTTGATGAGAGAGGCCAATGCTGCTGGACTGGACTCCATCCATGATGCTGAACTGATTTCACAGGACACAATGCAAGGGAAGAATAGGCTGCAACCCCTATGTGACATACAATGGCACAATCAGATAATGAACCAATGTCTGAATGAATGAATTAAAAATCCTAGTGTGGGTTCTGGGGCCCCATTGTGAAAAAGGGAGGGAAGGGGGGGTGGGGGGGGGGGGGAGGTTCTGAGGCCCACTGCCTTCCTAACAAGTATGTCATAAAAGTCAAGTAATTAAAGGTGCTTCCTTTGAAGTCAGAGTGGATCTGCTTGAAAGGTGAGTAATTAAAAGTCTACATTCAAATAAGCTAGATCTGTAACATGGATGTGCATGCAAAACTCAAGTTCTAGAAGAAAAGAAAGTCCAGATGTGCACGAACAACCAGAACTTTCTGCCAGAGTTTAGAGCTGGTTACCACTAAGGAAGGATGCCAAAACCAGGTCCACTGCATTTGACTGATAGAGATGGAGGGAACTGATAGGATAGTCAACAGCAACTGGTTACGTAAACATATGTGGAATTTTGGGACTGCAATGATAAACATAATCTATGCTAATGTAAGAACACCCCTGGGTTATGCCGTCTATATGTCCTTGTACATGTTGTATAAAGTCGAACAGAGAGAGAGCCTTTGATTTAGTTGACGCTGTCTTCTTCTTTCACCTATAATTTTCCTATGGAGCACAGCATTTAAATGACTTAAGGCAAGCAGTTTGCAGTCTTGGTCATGCTTGGTTTGAAAAACAAAAAATACTTAAAAAAAAACCATACACAAAAACTCTGGCAACACATCAGCATGTGTCAGGATACAGTCATGACTGACTGAATGAACAAATGAATATAGAACTGAAATCACTGCACTCAAGATATTCCTGTACCTGTTCCACTGTGATGAGGTGCTTTGCATGGTCTCCACATTCACAGCAAGTCAAGCAAAAAATCTATGTGACAAACGACTGCACAAGATACTTGGGACTGAACGGTAGTGATGGAAAGTCCAAGGTGGACTCATGGCCAGTTGTGTACCAGCGTTAGAAGAGGACAGTCATGATGTTGTTACTTCAGTTTTAATTAAGTGGAGTCAACGTTGAGTAAACGAGTATTGTGTCACATGTGTGGAAGTGAACCGCGATGATTACTATTGAGTATTGAGATGGAATAAGAAATAAAGTGGTAGAATGGAATCCGAGCCGCGTTTCAGTTGACAACTGTAGAAAGCTGTATTTGTTCTAGAGTAAATGAGCCATAGTAAAAGTAACCCAGCTATCATAAAAGCCAGCTTTCTTACAAGTGGGAGCTCGTCCTTTACAGACAATGAAAAGTAACCATACTGATGGTACCAATAGTAATCTGATTTAAAAAATGCATGTCCTCCAACTCCTCCTTTGAATAGCAAATAATTCAGACCCTCTGCTCACACTCAGCTGAATAATTCTAGATATGGACGGACTTTTCTGTTCTGTTGCACTGTTTACTTGATTCCACATCTGCTCTTTCATAAATTAGCTTACCGCCCAAATGAAAATAAAAAACAACCAGCATCTTTACCTGAGGAAGATTTTGCTTGTCTCTAATTCTGTTGACCATGACCTGACCTTCAGGGTGAACCATGGCCACATGCTTCCACATCCGCTCCCAGGTCTGCTCTTCAATGGGGAAGCCACTCTTGTTGACCAAGAAAAGAACCTCACTGTTAGCCTCCTTGCTCTGTTTACTGGCATTGCCATGACCACGTAAGGCAGCTTTCACTGTGAGTACATAAAGTAAACTGTAGTTGAACTTCTGACTGTTCAAAGTGACACCAGAGAAAATCAAAAATCATGTTTCCTGACATTTCCCTAGTCATGTGACACAACTTTCACCATAAGTACATGAAGTAAACCATGCTGAGACAGATGAAATTCTGACTGGTCAGAGTGACACCAGAGAAAAATGAAAACTATGTTTACTGACACTGCCTTGGTCATGTGAAACAGCCCTCACTGTAAGTACATGAAGTAAACCATACTCAGAAAGATGAGCTTCTGAAGGTCATGTGACACCACTCTCACTCTTAGTGCAAAAAGTGAGCCACAACCAGAAAGATACAGCATAGTACAAGAGAAAGTTATGAACTAGCATCACTGTTGCAGAGTAATAGAACACCTAGTTACTGCAAAGAAAGTTCAATATTCAAGAATTTAACAAGCATCAAACTGGTTTTAATGCATCAGTGTGAAACCACCGAAAACACGATGCTCAATATTCCAAGACAGAAGAGAAGACTATTATCAAGACAAGAATCATCTGTTGACAAATCAGGATACCAGAACAGATTTAACAAGAAATTAGAGTGCACAGAGAACTCAGAAGACAACAGCTGAGTAAGATAGTAAGATACTCAACAAACCTAGACAACAGAAGAGTCAAGACTGAACACTGAACTCCCTGTGTATGTTCTAGAACAGCGGTTCTCAATCTTCCTAACGCCGCGACCCATTATTACAGCTCCTCATGCTGAGGTGACACCCCCCCCCCCCCAACAATAAAATTTTGTATTGCTACTTCATAACTTTAGTAAATATGTGTTCTTAGGCAACCCATGTGAAAGGGTCGTTCAAACAGGTTGAAAACTACTGTTCTAGAGCCTCATTTTTGGGAGGTAAAGAACTGACAACCCCCCCTCCCCCCACGCCGCTTTCCAAACAAGCATGCCCTACAAGACGACGAAATAGATATTTTCTTAAATCAGATGTGCCGAAAGGCACATATATCATAGCCTGGCTGTAAACTACAAATAACTGTCTTTTAAGAGCACATGCAGAAAAAGAGCTAAGGAACTTGTCAATAAAAATATCATTTTCACTTTATATAGATAGCTCTATAAGTGCTCTTGTATTCCTACAACACACATGGGGAAAACTATGACTATAATACATTTTAATTACCACTTTTAAGAGGAAGACAGTGCGAGAAAATTCTTAACAGCTTTTTGTCATCATATGAAGGGGTGTCAACACATGAACTGATAGACTCAGTTGCAGATCGCAGATTGTGGAGAGGCATGATCACCCTGCCAGTCAGCAAGGCACTTGGTGATGATAATCCCAATTTTAAATCAGAAAGGTTGAACAGGATATGGATGCATAAATTACAATTAATAGACATGAATGATGAATTTCAGCACAGCTACCAGGGAAAGAGACAGAGTACTTATGGGAATGTCCAGAGGCAATGATGACATTTATTTTTGCATTTATTCTTACCTTCATTCTTGCCTTCCTGAACATTGCCAGATATCCATTGTAGCTTTAATGATCTTGGCTGGTTAATTTTAAAAAAAAATCCCTTCCTTGTATCAAGAGCCACTATAGTATAGTGGCTAGATACTCACTTGCCAGTACAAAGGTCTTGCATTCAGATCCTCATGGAAGCAATTTTTTTTTTTCATATTGACCTTGGTCCCAAGGTTGACTCAGCCTTAACTAGGTACTAGGTAATGTCCTGGGAATTAAAGGCAGCTAGTAGGTTTACTGACAGTCAGTACTGAGTGGTCTATAAAAATATGAATATAGCATGATGCTGGCATAAACATGTCCTTTACATTTTTCCCTTTAAGTTTCACTTCAATAAGACTATTCAAACATAAAACACTTTTTCAGGAAAAAAAGCTATTACTTTCTTAAGGGGAGTCAAACAGAGGACCACAGGAACAGTAGGTAAGTATGCTAGCCACCATACTACTGCAACTCCTTGTACAATGAATATGCCTGCAAAATATTTTATAATCATCTGTCATATTTCATTCATACCAAGACTAAACGCATACCATTACTCATATTTTCAGAAGTCTGGTTTCCTCCTATCCTCATTCTGCCTCAATGGTTGGCCTGTTTCACAAGGTCTAGCTCTGCCCTGCATGTTTCTTCAAGCTGCACACCAGAAACTGTCTCAGGGAGAAAGATGTTCAAATAACAGGATGAACTGAACACACTGTAAAACAGAAATATCTTCTTGCTATGCTAGGTGGCTTGTGTCCAAGAGCATTTCAGTAACGTATGTAATTTTACAGTGTCAAGTGAGAATGCATTAAACAAAGCCAGTGGAGATAGAGCATACATCATGGAAGTGGAAACAGCGAGAGGCAAAGGGATTAGTGAGTATCATTGCAGCACTCTGGACAGATCCATAGGTGCTCTGACCTTCTCCTCAGAAGCATCACAAGCGTAAAACAACTGATGACACCTGTTCTATGTTGATAAATCAAACACTGTGTCCCCTTGGTTTGGTGAAATGTTCATTTCCTGCAGCTTCAGGTTACAATCCCATCTCAGGTTACAATCCCATATCAGGTTACAATCCCATGTCAGGTTACAATCCCATGTCAGGTTACAATCCAATGTCAGGTTACAATCCCATGTCAGGTTAAAATCCCGCGTGAGCGGCGTGGGGGATACTCTCGTCAGTTGTGGTATAGTTCTCGGAAGTTCGCAATTTGGCGGTGGCGTTATAGTCCCTGGAAGTGCGCAAGTGACACGTGACTGAGGCCCTGTTAGGCTATATTTTCCGCCTCGATAATTTAGGACTGTTATACGGAGGATAGCTCACACAAGCTATTCACCTTCCACCATACATGTCTACGTAGAATTATCAAAATTTTCTGGCCAGATACAATCTCAAAGGTTCTCCTTGCAACTATAGCCACATATTGGGGAAGTACGCCGGAGTTCAGTCCCCTGGCCGCATTGCAATTACGGAATGGAGACGGAACAAATCACAAAACAAAGTGAGGTCGACATGGCTGGCAGACCACACGCTGTGACCAGTGCACTGCACCCAACCCTAACCCCTAACCCTATGATGACAGCAGTGCAGCGCACGCTGTCTATCGCTCACGCTATTTATCGCCAACACACACTAATTACATCATTTGTTTCGTTCCCTCTTCTTCAATCCGTAATTTCAATGCGGCCAGGGAACTGAACTCCGGCGTACTGCTCCAATATGTGGCCGTAGTTGCATCTCAAACACTAAACTACTTCAAGTCACAAACCAAGAAACTGACTAGACAGTGTGATTACTAAGAGAAGATGGAAATGGCTTGGCCACCTCATGAGAATGATTCATGATATACCTGCCAAAACAGCTCTCACGTGGACACCACAGGAAAAGAGAAAAAGGGGCGCCCAAAAACAACATGACATGGAGACGAACGATGGAAAGTGACCTGAATAAGGCATCTCAGACATCGTAAACTGCACTGAAGATTGCACAAGACAGAAAGCACGGAAAGATCTCTATGAAGTCTTGTGTGCCACTGGGCATAACGATAACTGATGATGATGATGTACAGTGGGAAGTGTTTGTTGAATATTAATTTATTAAGCAGTCAACCAGAACAACAACAAAACCCACCAGAGTGACAGAGGGAAACAATTTGGCTGTACAGACATTGTTGACATGGTTGCTGCCGTAAACTGGGACGCCAGGGTCGGGTTAACTTCCTTTACTTCTTTCCCTTTACCTAAAACGTTTTTTCCGCGTAACAAAAATTATATTCATGCTTACCTAATAAAAGTGTCCTACGTGTGTGTAATTCACAATGTTTTCAGTGAGTACAGACTGGATAACAACAGCCATGATTTTTACAACAATCCCAAATAGGACCGTGTCTAGAGCAGACGACGAGCAACAATGCCGGGCTCCGAGACGGGCAAGACTCCAACTTTTGTCAACTTTCTGCGAATATGGCTCAGTTTTGTTGCCGTCATGGCCATAGGAAACACAGTTCAATGTTTTATCAGTCCATATTTATTTGGCAGACTGTACACCGTAGATGAAAAGAATGGTAGGTTTTAAGTAGGAAAAGGGCAATGGATTTGACGATTATCATAATGTTAAATTTTCGGTACTCCTGTCAAATCCGGACGAAGAATAAAAAGCCTTGGACGACTTAGTCAGAGTTCTCTCCCTTGGGCGCACTGCGAACAGTGATCGGAAAAGCCACAACGAAACAAGCAACATGGCAGTTAGACGCACTCAAATAACTAACATCGTTATTCCGACGCACGACTTAGTTGCCACGGACGGAACTCCTGCAGACCTGTATGCCATAATGATAGATAAGTATGTCTGGTTGCGGTGGCTAGCTGAGCATAGTCTGATAAGGAACACGCAACCGTGTGCACGAGGTAGTAGTCAACCAGACCAACTTCGTCGACGCCGTACACAGTCACATTCACCAACGATTGGGCACCAGCCGCACATTATTGGCGTCATATTTAGCAGAATTCCAGTGGCGCCACGCCCACAAACATCAGAATGTCGGCCACTATTTCCAAACCCTACGTCAAAATTTTAACATCTAACCCTAACCCTACCCCTAACCCTAACCCTACCCCTAACCCGACCCCTAACCCTAACCCTACCCCTAACCCTACCCCTAACCCTACCCCTAACCCTACCCCTAACCCTACCCCTAACCCTAACCCGACCGCTAACCCTAACCCTACCCCTAACCCTAACCCTAACCCTACCCCTAACTCTAACCCAACAACCGCATGATGATGACTACACAACCATTCACAATGCCTCACGAAACCGTACGCAGCCCTACACGCAACCGCAGGATGATAGGTAAGTGTGTCGTTTATTTCGTTTGTTTTCCGATTACTGTTCGGAGTGCGGCCAAGGGAGAAAACTCTGACTAACTCGTCCACGGCTATTTATTCTTCGTCTGGATTTGACAGGAGAGCCAAATTTTCTTGAACTTAATTATTCATATTCTACTTGCGGTTCCAGTTGAGTTGTCTTTTAACCCTCTTAGCACGGGAAGTTTTTCAGATGTCTAGCCAAAAACACGGAGCATTTTTTCCAGTAAATTTGGTTATTACTTTATTTAATTTTTTGGACACATTTCTTTTATTCTGACCCCCATGAAATAATATATCAATTTGAAGGATATAGATTGAAGTTCATGATTTTCACAATATTACAATATCGTTAAAATTAATTGATGTATGCAAATTATCTCATTTGCATATTTAAAAATAGAGAATTAGAATGTGAATTTTCAACTTCAGTACATGAAACATATAACTAAACACAAAAATATATTTTATTTGAAATCTTTTTATTGATCTTTGACCTTTTTACAAATGTTGTAAGCAATTCAATAGTCAAAAACAGGTATATATATATATATGAAACAGCAATTATATCTTTAGGTGACATGTGTTTTTGACCATCAGTCAGCACAAGAAATTGATGTGCGGGAGTGTCAACACCTTTGGGTGGATATACCCTGAGCCATGGTTGGGCTGTTGTCTGAACACAACAGCGTCCCCATCTGATTCCCCACTATTACTACTAACACTAGATCCTGCATCAGTATCAACAGAATTAGTGTCATCACTTGATTCAAATGTTTTATCAACATCAAGTTTAGGGGCAGAAACATACGAGTCAGACATACTTTTAGCGGTTCAGGTCACTATCTAAAAAATTCAACAACAATTTTCACTTCGATACAAAACACTCGAAAGTCGCCATGTGTAAAGCTAATACAGCAGTGAATATAAATGAATGACTTTCAGTGTTTCAAAATAGGAGATTTCTTAGTGGTTCCAGGCGAAACACGATCGGGCCGATGATCGGCCGTTCCGTGTTTTTGGCCAGACATCCGCCAGCCGATAATCGGCCCGTCCATGCTAAGATGGTTAAATCTGCACATTGGTTTGAATTCTGAATAACTACATTACATTGGATGCATTCGTATGTGAATTTTTTTTTTCTTGTTGCTAATTTCATCTCAGAGTATGTCCAGTATATGCTTTGTCTTGTTGCAGTCGATACAAGTAAGTGTCCACATATTTCTCTGATCCCACTCTTTTTTAATCATCCCATTTTGGTAATGTTCATGATTTTTCTTAGACATTTATTTACAAATGCATTTAACCTTCATTCCAATAACTTGTAATTCTTTACAGAATTCATTTTGAAAAACAAACATTTGATTTCCGTTTTTTTGGCAGTGAGTGACCTCGCAGCTCGATTGTTTGGCATCTGGACATTGCTGGCAGGAGGTCTAAGACTGATGTGTGCTTTAGATGTTTACAATAAAATGTAAGTAATTTCTTTTCTGTTGTACATTGCATACACTGTTCTTTGGCCACACAATGAGAAGAGAGACATTGGAGAATGTCGTGACAACTGGAAAGATCAGTTGGAAAAGTGGTAGAGGCAGACCAAGAGAGATGATTCTGGATCAGCTGAAACAATGACATGTAGGGATATCATCAAGAGAGCTGTTCCAGGCAATCCGGGATTGTGATCTGTGGAGACGCATGAGCGCTTATGCAAGTTGGCAGGGCACATGATGATGATGTTGTACATTGCAGCTACTATGATAACATGTCTGTATGTTTAGCGACAAGCCTGGTGATCATGAGTTAGGATTCTCTTCAAAGACATTGTTTTCCTTGACCTGGGCTTTGAATTTGACACAGTCTAAGATGGCAGTAGAGAAATTTTCAGGAAAGTAAAGACAGCTGACATGGTAATGATCACATCACCAAAACACTGATTTGCCTAAGATTGGGGACTTGCAACACACACCCAGTCAATTTCAGAGGCATGAAAAGCAGTTTTATCGTTTTTTCTTACCTACCACCCACCTACTTTAACTCTTTGAGTCCCAGGGGGTTTAGCATCGCAGGCCCAGGGGGAAGTAAGAAAGTAATAAAATTGGCGCATCATGTGTTCATTGGGCTTCTAGGTAGTAACCTATGAACGTATGATGTGTTTCTTGGGACTCAAAGAGTTAAAACAATCAGTGGTCATGATTTTGTCGCATTATGAATGTCTGGAGAAGATTGTGACCACCTGAAAGGTTGAGGATATCAAAGACAAAGGAAAATGAAAAAGCAAATAGGATGAATGAGTCTATTGTTAAAAAAAAAAAGAACTTAAATCATTTCCCCTAAAAGAATCTTTGTGAAATTAACTTAGATAATTGCTTGTATTTTTTAATCTTTATAACAGAACCCCATGCATACATTTGCATAGAAACATGATAAACATGTATACAGTCTTGTTACAAAACAATATGACCACAGTGAATGAATTTGACCAGTGAGTGAATTATCAACACAAATGTAATCTCAGTTTACATGTGTGTGAGTTCAATAACTACCTACTTAACAAACATTGTGATTTTTACCACATTATGAGTGCCTGAAGGTCACTGTGACAACTTGAAAGGTTAAAGATATCAGAGAGAGAAACAGACATATGGATTGAGCAGTTCTGCACCATTGGGAGTTAATTGATGCATGATAAACTAGATATGGCCAAGGCCCTGTAGGAGCAAGTGAACGGTGGGGAGGTTTGAACAAGTTATTACCAACTGAAGAGAATAGTGTAGCAGGGAGTGACCAGTGGATCTAGCCAACTCTATACTCAAAGGAATCAGTAAAGGTACTTTTGAGTAGCTGCTGCATCAGAGGACTGAGCATGTGTGGCAATGTCTAATGTGCAGTAATCGTAGTAATAACAAAATTTGACTCAGAGAAAAAGTAATATGGACATAAAATCAGACTGTTACTAGTATCATCAGTATTGGAACTCTATGCTGGCTGCTGAAGATGAGTATGGAGTACTTATGGAAAGTGGTGCCTTAAGTAGGGTGATGTTGGTTGTTAACTTTTCCCAACTCAGAGGAGAAGGAGAAAGAAAATGTTGGGTGGCATGGCAGAAGGGCACATATGACCGTCAACAGTCAAACTTAGTAAGAATAACAAGATACTAGAACACACATGTGGAGGATCATGAGTATTGGTGCCACCTGGCAGGACACATAATGGTGATGAAGCTTGTGGCTTTAACTCTCTTAATGTACAGGGTTATTCAAATTGATGGATGATCCACTTTAATTCTTGCATACTTCCTTGAATATAAGTAAAGAAAAGTAAAGGACCCTTTTCCATGCCCTTAGGCGTATAGGGCATATAGCACTAGACCTATATTTTTATAGACCATTGGCACAAGATGGGTGATATGGTCAACATCACGCTGGCCGCCTCTACTTCCCGGGACTGCACCCGGTACCCACTCAAGGCTGGGTCGACCTGAAATCAAGATCATATCTGAAAAAAGTCCGGCTCCTCCAGAAAGCAACCCCACAACCTTCCGATCCGCAGCGAGCTGCTCCGCCACGGAGACTCATTCCTTGAATATATGTGACATATTAATAATATACAAACAAGAGAGAGAGAGAGAGAGAGGAAGTCCTCAACTTTGAAACTTACAGTAGAGGTTATAGATGTTCAATATGACCGCCATCTGCTGCTCGGCAAACATCTAAGCAGTAGCCAAACATTTCCCACACAGGAGGAAGTATCTCTTGCTTAACTGAGTTCATTGCAGCAGTGATATAGATCTGCAGGTTACACAACTGCTGTCTATCGGTAGTATAGAAACTTTGGACCTACTCTCTCTCTTGTATGTATATTATTCATATTCAGTGCATATATGTATATACATGAATGAAAGTTTATCCATTATTTTGAATAACCCTGTATACATTTGGTTCTCATCTCGTAGAACAAGACCCAACCCCAGAGCTGCATTGGTTGGGAAATAGACCCTCCTCCTGTGCCAGGAATTTTACCTTTGCTAATAATCGAACCAAACAACTGAAAGTAAAATTTGACTAGAAAAACCACAACAGAGAAAAAAAATATGCTGAGGTTGGTTCTGCAATGTCCTGTAAAGGATACACAACTAATTAAAAAATCAGACATACTTATCACTTTACTTAGCCAGTCGACAGACCATTCTGACTACCCTTCAAGTAATTTAGTCCATACAAGTTTGGAACTCCTCCCTAGTGTATTTCTCAGTGTTTAGTGACTACTGCAGCCATACGGTTTGTGTGGCAAAAATATAAATGTATGTATTCTATTGTTTTCTTCTCTTTAGGTTGTATCATGTGACACTGTTCTCATTTGTTTTGGCATGTGGTCACTTCCTGTCAGAAGTGCTTGTGTATGGGACGGCAACCTTTACTGCCACCATTGTGGCACCAGTCATAGTCTCTAGTAAGTATATGGGTGTTCCAACACTGGAAGGCTACAGCAGGTGGTTGTATTCATGCAAACTGGCTTCAAACTTCACACACCAGCCAACATCATGATTAAAAAAAAACATGTGAAGGCCACACAAATAAAAAAAAAAAAAAATACAGTAGTAAAAGCTATCATGTAGTGTCTTGATATTCTGTATTTGTGTATTGTTTTCTAATCTATGCTTGTGCTGAAGAAGGCTCCATAGCCGCAGCGTTCACCTTTTGTTTGTGTTTGTTATATTGTGAAGCTCGCTAATATACTTTTAGTTTGGTTTGATATCTTTCCCTTATTTTTCCTCACGTTCACTGGCTGTAAACTCGGGCGGAAAGTTCTATTTGATTTCCCACTTCTGGACTTTAGTCTTCTCGTTCTAGAACCTGAGTGTTGTGCGCAGATCCATTTTACAGATCTGACTTATTTGTTTGCAGACTCTTGGTTCCTTGCCTCTCAGGCAGATACACCAACTTCAAAGAAAGCCCACAATTAGTCAACTCTTACAACATGCAGCCGATGATTAGAAACCATATCAGTCAAACAGGGGCCGTCTCCACAGTGAAGGTGGACTTCAGGGGATCTCTTATATGCTCTGACTTTCAACCTTGATTTACAGTCTGTTTAAACAGCTGTGTATCCATCTCTTGATGTTATCCTCTCACGTACATAGCTGTCTGTCTGTTGATGTTATCCTCTCACGTATATAGCTGTCTATCTCTTGATGTTATCCTCTCACATATATAGCTGGTTAGCTCTTGGTGTTATCCTCTCCCGTCCACGCGTGGATGAACAACCATAACTTATACTGGGAGTTTACAGTCACTTAATGCTAAGAAGAAAATATTGTAATGTTTGTTATATTTTTTTCTAACGCATAATGTCAGGGACATAATTTAATATCCTAACATGCACAGTTTGTGGCAACTGCACTTAGCCACACGACACTAAATCCTCAGGCTCAAGACTTGCTGACTCTCCACCACCCTCATGTGGTAAATGCAGGGAGTTAAGGCTGGTTTTCCCCCTCAGTGGAGGATACAGGAAACTAAAAACACTTGGAGAGGGTCTGCTTTAGAAGAATGTAAGAACAAATAACCATGAATGATGCAGCAAAAGATCTTCCTCACCAAAGAATAAGGACCACAAGAGGAAATGACTTGTACATAGCTTTCCTATGTCATAATAATCGAGAAACACACAGGAAAACATGAAAAGTGGGGAATTAAAAGCGACAAAATTGCATTCATTAGTCAGTCTCCCTGCCCAGGCAGAATTCTTATGAAAGACAATCAACCCCTGAGTAAAATACTTGGGAATCTATACTGATAGGTTGTTCATGTATTCATTACATTTTCACAGCTTGCAGCCGTTAAATCCACTCATTGTTCTGACATTTAAGACATCTTGCCATGTTAAATCCACTCATTGTTCTAACATTTTCACATCTTGCCATGTTAAATCCACTCTTTTTTTCTAACTTTTTCACATCTTGCCATGTTAAATCCACTCATTATTCTAACTTTTTCACATCTTGCCATGTTAAATTCACTCATTGTTCTAACTTTTCCCAGGTGTGTCCACAATACTCATGGCTGTTGGTTATTTTGTTATTGACCCAGAAGATCCTAGAACTCTTTGTGTGGATGAAAATGCAGAAATCCTGAAATCTAGACCAAAGAAGATCAGATGAACACAGGCCACCTGCAGCTATAGCCCGATATGATGTCAATGATGGATGGTTAAATATTGTATTTTGTTACCTGTTGGAACCTGCTTTAACTGTTTATGTACCAGATGCAACCCAGTGTGCCACACTAAAGAAACCAGTAAATTTGGCTTACACAGGGTTTTTATTTAGTGTGGATGTTGTAGACTCATTCACTTCTTTTTGAGGGGAAATACTGCAGCTAGTTTTACATCTCTTTGACCCAGGGCTTATGCCTTTGACTTTGATCAGTTTTTGTGTCAGGTTTGCTTCCTGTCTATCCAAAGTTATCAGCTCTGTCTGCTTATATTTGCAAACATAGTTTGTAATTCTGAAATATCCAGTTTTACAGCAAAATATGCCAGGCAGTACTTGTCAGATAAGCCAGATTAAAACGGATTTGCATGCAAAACTGAAGTCCTGAAATAAGACCAAATTCCAGAAGTAATCAACCAGAACTTTCTGCCTGAGTTTACAGCCTGTAAGTGTGTGTCCCTAGTTTTTCTCTTTACTAGGGAAAAACTGTTTTGAATAGGCTTGTATGATCAATGGGAGAAGACTGAAGCCTGTGTAGAATAAATGTGATCCTTTGCCAAACCAAACTTATCCACAATATTCTTCTGTTGTCCCAAGTCTCTGATCAACTGTCAGTTCTTGTCACTGTATTTCCCTATTCATACTTGTTAGCTATTTGCCAGGCCCTGTCTTGTCTACTGTTGTGAACAAGCCATAACAAGTCCAGATGATGCACACATTGTGAGCAACCGAGCTGTGGTGCTGAGACCTGGACAGTGAACAAGCAATTAGAAATGTTAATGATCCCTGAAGATGTAAATATACACATAAAAACATCATAGTCAGGGAAACAAAAACAGTCACATAGAGAGGTTCAGAAAAGACTAGGAATTAAAAGAGAGTTACTGATGGAAATTTCTTCTTCTTCTTTGCATTCACCTGCTGTAATTTGGTGGAAAGATCTGGTTGTTTGTACACTTCTAGACTGTAGTCCTGTTCCAGAACCTGAGTGTTGTGTGTACATATGTTTGACAGATCTGACACATTTGTGTGCAGATTGTTGGTTCCTGCAGAGACACTCCAACTTCAAAGGAAGCTCCCAATTATTTGACTCTTACGACATGCTTTTTGGTCTGTTTTAGTTTTCCCTATAATAGGGCCCCAAAACCCACACAGGGGTGATGGAGCTTTAAAAAAAAAAGAGAGAGACAAGGGGAAAATTTTGGCAATATTAAAAGACATCAGTGTTATAAAAACCATACTAGAGGGGAAAGCTGAAGGAGAGTGAGAAAGGGGCAGACACGGATGCAGGTAGGAGAAAAACATTGAGAGTTGGACAAACAGCAGACCGAGAGTGTTCACTGAGATAGTGAAGGGCATTTTGAAGATCCACTGAAGTGAATCTTCAGTGTAGAGATGGTACCTGATTGATTAATTGTAAGCAAAGACATTAAAAATTGGCAAACTGTGACCGAATGTACAGACAGCTGTGCTTGACAAATGAAGTTAAATAGTTCTGTCCCATCATATCTTTTAATCGAGTTTAAAAAAAAAAAAAAAAAAAACTCCTAATTATAATCCTGTACGATACAATAATCCTGTACGATACAATAAAGAGTGACATCAAACTTGTGCCTTTTGTCAGTATGATTTACATTTGATATTTGATTGTTTATTTTCACTTCTGTATGTTGAATCAGTAAAGGTAACTTGGAATGGCTGCTGCATCTCAGGACTGAGTGCACATGGGAATGCCTAATATGCAATGAGGTTGATTATAATAATATAACAATCCATGTGACTGCACATTAAGCATTCCCAGGTGTGCTGATGCAGCAGCCACTCCAAGGTACCTCTACTGATTGTTGCCATGAGAAGTTGGTTATAATGTTACATCACTGTATGTGTTTGGGATTCATTGTGATGTAGCGGCTAGATGCTCGCGTGCAGATCAGAAGGTCGTGGGTTCGCTCCCTGGTGGAGCCGGACTTTAAAAAAAAAATGACCTTGACTCCCAGGTCGACCCAGCCATGAGTGGGTACCGGGTGCAGTCCCGGGAAGTAAAGGTGGCCGGCGTGAATCTGACCACATCACCCATCTTGTGCCGATTGGTCTATAAAAAATATAGGTCTAGCCCTATATGCCTAAAGGCGTGGAAAAGGGTCGTTTACTTTACTTACTGAATGTATTAGTGTGTGAGACCACATTAGCTAGGAAGGCTAAGCCTGGCAGCATATATGTGAAGTTGAGTCTCGACCAAAGGGCTCAAATACCGCAGCCATGCTGTAAATAGATAGAATGCAGTTCCATCCTTGGATGTTCATAGAAGAAACAGAAAAAGACTATGTAAGCGCAGTCACTGGCAAGACTACTTGCTAGTTCAATAATCATGTATTCCACTCCCCTTCAAGGCTGGGATCTTTCTGGGATCCCAAGTCGATCCAGCCTAAAACAGATACCTGGAACAATTGTGGGAAGTAAAGGCTTTACCATGTGGTACTGATCACAACGGCCATCAAGTGCTGATTGGCCAGTTAAAACTTCTTCTTATAGTCCATGCAGCATTGGTAGTCACTTCTATCTAGAACTTTCTCTCCCATGTACTTTCAGTCAGTTCTGATTCAGATGATCTGATAACGCTGTCCAGCATCTTCTCTCTCCGTCTCCCCCTGCCTCTCCTTCCCTCCAACTTTCCCACTGTCACAATGTACGCCAGTATTCTCCTAATGACATGACCAAAGAATGTAGATTGCCTTCTTCAAGACATTTTGATTTGTCTATTTATCTGTCATCATTCGTCTATAAAACCACATCTCTTCAGCTTTGAAATAATTTTTATTTTGTACTAATTGCCAAACTGTACATGATTCACTTTTATTTATAAGAAAGGGATTTATGTCGCTTTTAAGAATTCTGTTTCTCGTCTCAATTGACAGAGAAAGATTGTATAGAATATTCCTCATTTTAAAATGCTGGCTTTGTTGTGCTCTTCTACATTTAGCTTCTTGAAAAAAAAAATTAAAACTACCGGATCAGAACTGATTACATTTAACTGCATGGACAAGGGTCCTTGACTGTCTCTGTTGTTTTACTTAAAGAGATAACCATGTGTAGAAACCAGGCTGTTTTTTTGTTTATATTGTAAAAATACATATTGACTGGTTCACTTATGTTCTTCCTCTTCTTCACGTTCACAGGCCCTGCTGGAAAGTTCCAGAGGTTCAACCACTTCTGGACTCTGGTCTTGTTCTAGAACTTTAGTTTTTCATGCAAAGCACTTTTACAGATCTGGCTTATTTGTGTGCAGACTGTTGGTTCCTCCCCTCTCTGGTAGATTACTCGGTATTTGAAGAAAACAGCCCCTAATAGGTCACCTTTTACGACCTTTTTCTGTAATAAAACTACCACTGCCTGGTGGTTAGGCCTTGATTGGTCACAGGCTAAGGAAGCATATCCTGACAGAAAAGCAAGTTGAAGACTGAAATGCCAGGTCGAAAGGCACAGATAGTATGGGCGAATATTTTCCCACAAACATGGTGGCAGGCATACCTTCTTTAGTGGAAGAAGAAGTGTAAAGCAGCAATGGAGCAGGTTCAGGCCAGTGGCATATCTTTTTATAGACCAATCGGTTTGCAGTGGGTGATGTGATCAGCATCATGTTGGCCACTTTTACTTCCCAGGACTTTACCTGGTAGCGATTTTAGACTGGGTTTAAAAAAAAAATATCCTGATGCAGATTCGAACCCAGGACTGAGTTGACAGGTGAAAGGATAGCTGCCACATTATTGCAGCTGCCAGATGGAGAAGTTACAAAACAGAATTAGATGAGTCATCTGTCTTGTATCTCCTAATGAAACATAAGCTTTCAACCATCTTGTGCCAAGCCTTACAGCTGTTGTTTGTTGGCTGTTACTGCTGAACCTTTATAGTGGACAGGAAAGGCAAGCCTATAGCTAACTTACAGCCAGCCCTTAGCTCTTTCAATCCTAGTGGATTGGGAAGTCAACCCTATGGCTAACTCATAGCCAGCCCTTAGCTCTTTCAATCCCAGTGGATTGGGAACTCAGCCCTATGACTAACCCATAGCCAGCTCTTAGCTCGTTCAGTCCCAGTCAGTATTCAATTAATGCTGATCATACACAGTCTATGTATTTTAGAGTTAACTCTTTCAGGCCCATGAATTTTGACAGACTTGGCCCACATTAATTTCCCTTTACAAAAATGGCAGAGGGGTGGGTGTACAAGAAAGGCTGTAGAGATTGTAATATACTTCTAATCCCTATATATTTTTTTAAAGAGAAATAAGTGTAAATTCTGAATCTGATGATAAGTGTTTGTTTGATTTTGTTATAGTTAGTGGAAAAGAAGAATTCAGCAGGTGTTAATTTTACAAGGACAACATTTCACACCAAAATTTTTCAATTACCATGGTTTTGCAGCCACAAGAATAGTAAATATCAAAATTTGAGAACAAAACTTCAAAGTTTGTTCAATTTCCTAACATATTCTAAAGTTATGATAACTTTCTGGATTATTTTATCACTTAGGAGCTCTTAGTTCCCACCGAATGCTAAGCAAAATTTCAGAGAAAAATGGCAGAAAAATGAGCCATAACACACACACTATGTACAGTTATTTACAGACTGTAGCTGCGATGATTTCATGTAGCTTAGCCATAGTATAGTACTATCTCTTTGTTTAGAGCACTTTCCTTCTCTTACACCATAAATACCATAGTATGGGACATTGTCTGTGTTACAAACTTGTCAGAATCGCTAGATTCCGAACAGCTGATCGCTCAGCTTCGCTGGTGAAAATTCACTGTCCGAATCACTTTCAGAAAAATCTAAATTTGTATTATCATTATCACAATTAAAAACATCTGACTGAAATAATTTCAGAGCTTCGGCCGCAGAAAAACGCATTCTGCGACCTGTTCTTGTGGTTAGAACATTGGTATTCAGTGCACT